TTGTTCTCCCAGTCTCTCCAGAATCTTGCCTCATCTTTCTTCTGGGAGTGGCTAGTGGGTTCAAATCCCAGACCTTTGGTTAGCAGCTGGGTGCTTAATCACCGCACCACCTCTCTCCTTAAAGCACTATTACTGAGCCTTAAAGAGAAAGAAAGTTCTGATACATACTCTGATATGGATATACCTTGAAAACATCATGTTGAGTGAAATAAATCAGACTCAAAAGGAAAAATAATGTATTATTCCACTTATATGATATATCTAGAACAGGAAATTCTTAGAGACAAAAATTTATCAGTGGTTACCAGGAGATAAGGAGAACGGGAACAAAGAGTTATTAAGGGAGCTGGATTTCTGTTTGGTATGATCTTTTTTTTTTTTTTTAATAGATAGTGGTGATGGTTGTACAGCATAGAGAATGTGATTAATGCCATTGAATTGTACACTAAAAATTGGTTGAAACAGCAATTTTTTGTGAGACCTATTTTACCACAATAATTTTTAAAAGGCACTAACAATTACTATGAGCCTACTCAGAGCCTCAGAGTTATATACTCTGAGATGACTGATTATCGGCTCATTAAACAAAGGAGAACACCAAGCTCAGCTTAAGGCCACACAGCCAGTGGATGGTAGCACCAGGATTGAACCCCAGGCCTGTGTGACTCCAAAGCCCACCATACTAAACCATTAAAATACAGTCCCTGCCCTCAAAGACTCATAGTGTAGTGAGAGAGACAAATGCAAACTACTAGCTAATATGCGAGAGCTACTATGTAACATGAATAAAATTTGTGCTAAATAAAAGCCACAAGCTTTGGGAGTGTCAAGGGATAATTAATTACCTCTGCCTGGAGGGTTAGGAGCACTGGTGGTATAGTGGTTAAAGCGTTTGGCTGCTAACCAAAAGGTTGGCAGTTCGAACCCACCAGCTGCTCTGTGGGAGAAAGATGAGGGCAGTGTGCTTCCATAAAGATTTACAGCCTTGGAAACCCTTATGGGGCAGTTCTGCCTTGTTTGACATAGTCCCTATGAGCTGGAATCACTTGACTTCTGTGAGTTTAGTTTCATTGGTTGTCATTCCCTCCAGGGTTGCTGGAGGATGGAGTGAGTACTCCGGACAGTGCCAGCAATATAGAAGATACTCAGTAAATTATCATAATCATTGTTGTTTATACAGATCAAATAGGAATATTCATTGCAGCAAAAAAAAAAAATTGGAAACAACCTAAGTAAATATCCCCAAATAGGAAAGTGTTAGTGAAGTATATTTCAAACATAGGATAGGGTATTATATAGCATTAAAAGTCAAGTTTTTTTTTTTTTTAAATAACAACATGGGAAATACTTCTAATAGAAAAACAGGATGCAAAACTGATGATACAGGGCAGTTTCTATGCTGTGAAATAGATGTAGATGCAGATTTTTCATTTTCTTTTCCTTATTTTTAAACATAGAAAAATGCCTGTAGGAAATTCACCCAGATGCCAACAATTGTTATCTTCAAGTGACAGGATAATGACTAATTTTTTTCCTTTTGTTAAATGTTTCTATATTTTCAAAATAGCTCAAAATGAATACAATTACCTTTACAATTTTTTAAAATTAAAATGTTATTTAAGAAAGAAAACTGCTTGATGAGGAAGGAATTAGGGGTCAGGGAATGATAGCTAATGTTTATGAAGACATGCCAGGCATTATTCTACATGCTTGACTAAGTTAAATGAATTGTCTTGCATAAAGTGACTAACACAGTGCCTGGCATGTGAGGCTTTAAATTACTCTGCAGTGTGGGTCCTTTTATTATCCCATTGTATGGTCCGGGGACTCTGAGACTTAGTGGGGTTAATTTGAATATCAAGTGAATGTTGAGGTTGGGATTCAAATTCCAATGATCTAGAGCAGCCATCAAAATACAACTGTTAGTCTCTACTCATCAGGAGTGAAAGAGAAAGAAGGAGAACAGAGTCTCAGAAAAGAACCTAGTGTACAGGGCTGGTAGCCTACATGAGCCACGGAGACCAGAACTAGATGGTGCCCAACTACAACTATCAGGAGTTCTGATCAGGGCCACAATAGATTGACCCTGATATATGGTGAGAAAAACGCAGACCAGAACTCAGATTCTTGAAAACCCCAGATTTACTGGACTAGCTGAGACTAGAGTACTTCCTGACTAATGTCCTGAGATACTCTTTAAACTTTGACCTCTGAGGTCACCTTTTAGCAAAATAATAGATTGGCACACGAAATAAAGAATATTACCCATGAGTGCAGTGCTCCATTAAAAAAGCCATCTATATGTGACCAAAAGGTCAACAATTGCTCTAAAGCAAAGATGAACAGATAAAGAGGCAGGGAAATTAGAGTACTGAAAACGGAACAACCAGAACACAACTAGAGAATGTTGACACATTGTGGAAAATGTATCTAATGTCACTGAACAATTTGTGTAGAGATTGCCAAATGGGAGCCTAATTTGCTGTGTAAACTTTCAATGAAAAAACAGTATTATTTTTTAAAAAATTCAAATTGTCTAACTACAGACTCCTTCTTGACCACCACAGTCGACAATCAAGGAATTAAGCATTTCCTTGTAACTGACCCTCCTCAAAGACCGAGATCCCTTTTTTAAGTATGCCTGATCAGTACAGGAGAAATATGAACCATGGGTTCAGACTTCCTTTCCTGAGTGGAGAGGTTGAGACCCCAGATTTCCTGTTTACAATCCAACAACCACTTTACTTGAATAGAAACATTCCTGAGCCCCACATCTCCAGCAGTTACTGATTCCTACTTTCTTTGACAAATCTGGGCATATTTCCTGTTGACTAGAATCAATACTGCAGTAAGCAATGGCTCAAGATCCCACTATCAAAATTCTTCTGGGGAAAGGACCTATAACTTCAGCTGGTTAGCCTTTATCCATCCATCGATCCACCCACCCACCCACTGGTTCATCCATCCAACAAGTTTTTATTGAGAGCCTACTATATTCCATAGGGGAAGCTCTGGTAGCATAGTGCCTAAGGCATTAGACTGCTAACCAGAAGGCTGGTGGTTCAAACCCACCAGCCACTCCTCCAAAGGAAGATGGAGCAATCTTCTTCCATAGTGATACTGCCTTTGAAACCCAAGGAGGGGTCGCTATGAGTCAGATTCAACTCGACGTCACATAACAACAACAACGACAACAACTATATTCCATACACATTTTGCTTTATTCATAATTTTGTCCCCAACAGCATCTGGCATAAGTGAAAGAAAGGGAGGAGGGAGGTAAGAAGGAAGGACCATGCAGAAACCAACTGAGCCAAGTTCCTGAAGAATAAATATCTATGTTTAAATCTTCCTTTTAATGTTGTAAGATAAATAGAAACAAACATCCTGTTCAATCTTTTACAAATAAGTTTACTGTAATTTTCTTATTAGAAAAAAATAGTGTTGTTTATTGTAGAAAAATTGGAAAATGCTGAAAAGACAGAGAAAGCTATGAAAATCACCAGATGAGCTGTAATCTCACCACCCAGACTCCTTCCCATATGCTTTCTATACAGTTTTGTACAAAAGTAACAACATAGTATGGACTTTGAATCAAACGGTCTTGAGTTCATGTCTTGACTATATCACTCATCAGTTATATGAACTTGAGCAAGTGACTTAAGCATCTGAAACCCCCCTGCCTCCTTATCTGTGAACTAGAACAATGCACAGACCCCTCTTCATGAAGTCATCTTGGGGATTAAAGGGCATGACAGAAAGCACCCAGCCCAGTGCCTGGCATAGAACAGGTGCTCAATGAACAGTGACAATGTTAATCATCCATTTTTGATACCCCTTCCTTTTTGTAGCCTAACATTTTGTTGTGAGCATTTCCTCCTCTGTCATTAAATATTCCCTATTCAGTTTCAAATCCATTCTAGGTACATGCTTTCTCTACCCTAATTTCAAGCCAGAGGATCAGAAAAAATACATTTCCGGGGGCTCCATCTTAGCACAGCCACAGAAGGAGAGCTGAGCATAAGACTTCCCCAACAAGGCTCACCCAGTGCCAAGACCTGAAATCGCATGAGATTTCCTCAATAAAGTCAAATTTTTGACTGTTCATAGGGTTAGGGGGGTGAGTTTAAGTGTCTGTGCATGACTAGTGTTGAGGGAATTTCCTGGCAAGAGGTGTCATGAGTGGGTCTGAGGAGAGTGGAAAGGATGGTCTTTTGAAAAAATCTGGGGTGGAGAGCAGCTCACGAACCCTATTTCTGCCTCTAAGTAGGGAGCAGTAGAGCATGGTGGGGAAGAGCCCAGGTGTCGGGCAGACCTGGCTTCCAGTAGATGCTTAGTCAATGGACCCTGTAAATATTGCTATTGTGAGTGCTTGGGATTTTAGTTTAGCTGTAAGTGCTGTTGGGTGGCTCAAGCAGTATTTTGGGATGACCTCTGTTTACAGGTGGTTTTTCAGCCTTGACAAAAATTTTAGACATGCTTGGTATTAGGTATGATTGGCTATTGTTCACTGGCTAACTCTCTGGGGCACAGAAGCTCAGGGGAGATGCCAAGTATAGATTTCCCAGCAGGGAATTGTCAATGAGCAGAGAGACAGCTCTTAAGACTTTGGTGGCATCTCTCAGGTTCAGCAAGTGAAGGAAGTGATGGAAAATTGATAGACACCTGGGCTCCCTAGGGCCCCGTGTGAGGAAGGAGGCAAAATCGTTTATTTGCCTATCAGAGTTCCCTGTCAAGCCAGAGAGCCATGGTTCCTGCAGGCTTGGTATGGCTGGCACGGCTAAACTATGACACCTAAAAAGCCTTGGGCACTGTCCAAAGGGCAGGGCGACCAGGTCTGAGACGATTGTCTAAGCAAGCATAGCACATGCCAATCCTAACTCTAATCTGTTCTGCCTGATATTAATAACAACAATGGCTCTAATTTATGAACACCTGCCTTGTTGAGCTCTGCGTGAGCCTCACACACCTTGGATTCTCTTGTCTAACAAGTGCTACAGGCAGTGTGAACCCCATTCTACTGAAAGGAATTGGAGGCTCAGAGAGGTGAGGTAACTTCCTGAGCTCACACAGCTGGCAATTGAAGTATGAACCCAAGGCTGCCACTAAAATCTAGCCTCTTTCCACTGTACCGTGATGTGTCTGCTGCTCTCTAAGGTAATAACCACCCCCATCAGAGTCCTGGGAAAGTATTTAATTCCCAGCATCAAAAATAAATGAGCCTGCCAACTGTCTCCAGAGTGAGCAGAATCCTCAGATGTTAGCCATGTTATTCTCAAGGAAAGCATTAGGGAAGTGGGGAGAGAGATTAGAATTGAGAGTTGGGAGGAAAGGAAGAGAGAGAGAAGAAGGAGGAGGAGAAAAGAAAAGGAAGCAAGGTGGAAGATCCAAACAGAAAGGAAGAAAGAAAGAAGATACAGAGAGAGGCTGGGCCACACTGATGGTCAAAAAGTGAGCCCAGGCTGGGACGCCAGCCCTGCTGCACTACCCACGAGCTGTACAGTGTTACTTAACCTCTTCTTGTCCATCATGCTCTAAATGAGGGATAATAATCCTCCTCCAGTGAGTTTAGTCTATTTGGTTTCATGAGGATGACGACATGAAAAAATGTATTTAAAGTGCCTGACGTATACATTCAATGGATGGTAAACAAGAATTATTATAATAGCCAACCATTCCTGAAGAAGAATTGATACCTTTGAATTATGCTATTGGTGAAGAATATTGACTGTACCATGGACTGGCAGAAGAAGAACTCATCTGTCTTGGAGTAAGTACAGCTAGAATGCTCCTTAGAAGTGAAGATAGGGAGACTTTTAAGTACTTACATACTTGGGACATGTAATCAGGAGGGATCAGTCCCTGGAGAAGGCTTGGTAATGTAGAGGGTCAGCGTAAAAGAGGAAGACCTTCAACAAGGTGGATTGACATAGTAGCTGCAACAATGGCTGTTAGCATAGCAAGGATTGTGAGATGGGGCAGGACTGGGCAGTGTTTTGTTCTGTTGTACACAGGGTCGCTAGGAGTCACAACCCACTTGATGACACCTAACAACAACAACAACCATGAACTTACTATGAGCCAGACATTGTTTTAAGAGTTTTGCATTTACCAACTCCTGTATTCCTCATGTAGGATCATGGTGGTGCAGTGGCTAAAGCACTCAGCTGCCAACCAAAAGGCTGGCTGTTTGAACCCACCAGCCGCTCCATAGGAGAAAGATGTGGCAGTCTACTTCTATAAAGATTTACAGCCTTGGAAAACCCATGGGACAGTTCTATTCTGTCCTGTAGGGTCACTGTGAGTCAGAATCAACTTGACAACAGTGGGTGGAGTGGACATCCCTTACAAAAGTCTTGTGGAGGAGATACGGTTATTATCATCAATTTACAGATGATGACACCAAGGCACAGAGAGGTGAAGTGGTTCTTGTTGTAATCATTGCTGTTGTGTTACAAAATTCCATGCCAGCTACTACCTTCACCTCTAAGATCTGACTTCAGCTCAGTGCCTCCCCGAGTCTCTTAAAATCTGAAAGCAGTAGGGAGGGTGTGAGGGGGTACCCAGCAATCATTCTGCCAGGAAAGGGGGCTCACCTTCACAATAACATTCATGGTGTCCTGGTTTTCCTTCTTGGCTTCTCCAAAGGATCTCACGTTGAAAGAGCAGATCCTCAGGGCCAGGGCACTGTGGAAGGAGAGGAGGAGAAGCAGCAGGGGCGGCAGCAGCTGAGACATCCTGGCGCTTCTCCGTTTCAGGACTCCTTGAGAAGACAGCAGCGTTTGGAGTGCCAGAATCCCAGGCACCTCCTCAACTCCGCTGATTTATAAAGCCTGCAGATAACAGGAATTACTGGATTTCTGGCTTCTACTTTCACTTCTCTGAGGAACTGAAGACCATGAGTTTCATTCCCATTTCAGAGCCCATGAAATAGCTAGCCTTTGAGAAGCCCCTGTTTTTATTACCCTGCTGAGGAAATTGTCTTGCCTAATTTAGGCTCCTCCTTGGCAAAGTCCCTGGCATCTCAGCTCGGATATAGCATCTGGCCATCTCGCCTGTGGTTGCCTGCTGTGGGCCTTTGCTGATAGTCGTTGAACTCAGAAGTGTCTGGGATGCCTTCTGGGGTGACTGAACCTTCTGCTAGGGGTCATTGAGGCAGGGGGCAATGGGGTCCTGCTGCTCCAGGAAGTTCTGCTGGATTTTCTGCCATCCCTGGGATTTGGAGGCCAGCTGTTCCTGGACACACCCAGGCATCAGCCCTCTAACTGCCCTGATGGGTGTAAATTAAGGTCAAATCTAGTTTGAATTACATAATTTTTCATGCAGTTTTTGTGTGATTTAATACTAGCAGTGTGTTGCCAGGGAGAGCAATTGCTGATTTGTAGAATAGGTCAGTAAAATACCCTTGGACTTTGAGGACAGCTAAAGCCCCCACAATTCAACCAGATCATTTTAATATCTGTAATAGCATGTGGGCCTTAGAAAGGAAAAATTTGCAAGAATTATAGAATTTCAGCCAAGTAAAATGACTTTTAGACACGTGGAGAGGAAAATGTGATCTGGAAAGCAAAGGAATGAAAAATGCAATCAAGTCATAAATCCAAGTGAGATTCACAGACTTCTGCAAGGCAAATTCTTCTGTGAAAAGGTGAAGTAATGAGAACAAGTTGAATCCAGCATTTGAATCAATGTGACCACTCCTCTTGGAGTGATGGAATTGTTGACAAAGCCATCATAAATAGGGCAAAGGGTGCAATGTTGGTGTTCCCATATATTCAGTCAGCATCCTGGCCAAAACCTTTGACCAAGCACCCCTAGGTATTTCAAGGAAGTTGACCACAGTATTGCATGGAAGGACATAATGATTCCTGAGTTCATGTTGAGATGAAATTACCCTGCATGTCTGCAAGCTGATTTAACCTCATGGCTGCCTAAATCTCTAGTAAAAAGCAGATCTGATTAAATGGGGGTGGTAATTTTCTTCCTTGGTAAATGGGCATCTTCTAACGATAGGAAGATTTAGAATGAAGTATTGAAATGTTGAAGAGACTCAGAGCCATAGTATAAACTTTTTCTGTGTTTGAAGATGTAGGAGATCTTGGCCTGTTAAATTGAGACTAGTAACTCCAGTATAAAATGTACAATTGAGGGAATTAGATTTGTGATTTTTAAATTGAAATTCTACTAGGTTTATGCATAGCTCTTTAACATTTAGAAGAACCTTGGGTTTAGTAGTGTTTTATAAGTTTATTAGACTTGGGAGAATTATTTCATACCCCAAAAGGGTATTTTTGTTTATTTGTTGGTTCAGACAATTGAAGAGCTTTAAAAAGAAATAGAGTATATCAAATTTAATTTTTAAAAGTTTAAAATGTTTGTAAATGAGACAAAATTCCCTGAAAATAAATTGTATAAGTTTGCTGGACTTAAGACTACCAGATTTAGCAAATAAAAATACAGGCCACTAGTTAAATTTGAATTTCAGATCATTAAAATTTAATTGGACTTCCTGTATTTTATCCTAGCTGGACTTAGAATAAGAACTTTTATAAGCTGTGTTTAAAAGCATGACATTTACTAAGGTCATAATAAGAATCTGGGGGAAGTTTTTAATTCCCAGAATAAAAAATAAACTAATATGTAGGATAAAGAGTGCCAACTAATGAATTTTTAACTTTGATAATCCAAATATTAATTTGAAAAATAAAGTAATAGTGCCTTCTATATATTGAAACTACCCTTGAGGACTTAAAAACGGTTTCACATCACCTGATTGAAGAGATTGAACCCATTCTGTAGTTAACATATTCTTTGCATGAAATTGGACATTAAAAAAAGTGCTTGTCAATTACAAAAGTACAAATATTATATGCCCTCACATATGAAAGGGAGCTCTGGTAGCATAGTGCCTAAGGCACATGACTGCTAACCAGAAGGCTAGTGGTTCAAACCCACCAGCCACTCCTCTACTTCTGTAGTGATATCGCCTCGGAAACCCAAGGAGGGTTTGCTATGGCTTGGGTCCGACTCGACGGCACATAACAATAACAACAACAACACATATGAAAACAAGAACGGGCTAATGTATAGAAACCAAATTTTTTAATGGTTGCCATGGATAGGAAGGAAGGGAAAAGATAAGGTTATTGCTTAAGAAACACTGAGTTTCTGTTTATGATGATGGGTAATTTGCATAGATTAAGGGTGATAATTGCATAGGCAATTAATATAATTGCTGTCAATAAGTTGCATACCCTGCTGTGGAAAATGGTATCTCACTGCTGTCAAGTTGATTGCAACTCATGGTGACCCCTCCTTGGGTTTCCAAGGCAGTATCTCTATGGAAGTAGACTGTCCAACCTTCCTTCTGAGGAGTGGCTAGTGGGTTTGAACTGCCAGCCTTCTGGTTAGCAGTCATGTGCCTTAGGCACTATCAATAAAGGACAAATATTGTATGAGACCATTATTGTAAAAAATCAAGAAAAGATTTTCACACAAAAAGAAATATTTTTTGATGGTTCCCAGGGGTGGGAGGGGGAAAGGAGGGTAAACCACTAACTAGAGGGTAGATACATATTAACTTGGATAAAGGGGAAGACAATGTACAATAAGGGGGAGGTCAGCACAGAATGATCAAGGAAAGGAAGATCCTGAGAGGAGTACAAGACCTAAAGGCAACAGAGAGATAAATACGAACTCATACACAATCCTGCAATAACAATAATAACAATAATCAATAATCTATGAGTGGATGCACAGATAGACATGCAAGCTGAATAGATACAGGAAGGAGAATGGGACTATACTTGAGAATATATGTAGGTTTGATGGAGGATATTTCTACATATGTATTTACATATGCTGCAAATATATCCATGAATATACTTGATAGAGGAAACAAAGTTAAGAAAACTTCTTAGCCATATCCAGAAACCCTGAGGGAGTGAGACTGGGTCTGGGGACTCAGGACCATAGTCTCAAGGGGACGTCAAGCTCAATTGGCACAGCATAGTCCACAAAGACAACATTCTACGTCCTACTTTGATGAGTAGAGACTGGAGTCTTCAAAGCTTGTGAACAGCCACCTAAGGTGCAACTATTGGTATCTCCCCATCTGGAGCCGAGAAAAGTGAAGGAAATAAAAACACATGGAAACAATTAGTCCAAAGGATTAATGGACCACACAAACCTTAGCCTCCATGACCCTGAGACCAGAGGAATTAGATGGTGCCTAGCTACTATTACTGATTGCTCTGAAAGGGATCACTTTGGAAGATCCTGGATGGAGTTGGAGAAAAATGTGAAACAAAAATCAAAATTATTAAAAAAGAAAAAAGATCAAGCTTACTGGCTGGATACAGACTGGTGGAACCCTGGAGACTATGGCCCTTGGTCACTCTTTGGACCTAAATATAAACTCACTCCTGTAGCCTAATTTTCAGATAAATAATAGAGAGGTCTTCAAGGTGTACAATAATTCTAGGAAGGTAGACAGACACTCCTCAGAAAAATCAACCACTTGAGACCAAAATGGCAATATTTGCCCAAGGACAAAGTTCAGAAGGCAGGAAGGCTTAGGAGAGAAGGAGGAATGAAAATGAGAAACACAGGGAAAAGTGGGAGGAGTGATGTTACGTTGTTGGAATTACAATCAATGATATGAAACAAATTGTGTGTGACTTGTTGAGTGGAAAACTGATTTGCTCTGTAAACTTTCACCCAAATCACAATAAAAAGTTAAAAAAAAAAAAAAGTTGCATACCTGTAAAAAGGTGAATTAACAAATATTGTGTTATATATATTTTTATAGAAAAAAAAAAAAGGAGCAGCTGCTGATGTGGCTTATATACAACCAAATACCTTATGAAATTTGGGTTCTTGGTTTGGAGGTTTAGGGTCATGGTTTCATGGGACAGCCAGTTAATTGGCCTAATAACATTGTTAGTTCTACCTCCTAGTTCGTTCCGTAGTGTCTGGGGTCTTAATACTTGCAAGTAGCCGTCTAACGTACAATAATTGGTCTCTCTCTCTTCATCTGGAGCAACAGAGAAAAAAGGAGAGCCAGGAATAAGAGAAGGAAGTGGAATGTGTAGCTAATTGCCTCCATGAACATGAGACCAGAAAACCTAGATGGTGCCCAGCTACCATTACTGAAAGTTTTGATCAAAGAAGCTATAGAAGAATCTTGATCAAAAGGGAGAAAATGCACAACAGAATTTCAAGTGCTCATGGAATCAAGATTTTCTGGAGCCATGAAGCTGAATTAACCCCTGAAACTATATCCTGCGATAAACTTTAAACCTTAAACCAAAAATATCCCCCAAAGTCGCCTTTAAATTAAACAACAGGTTAACATGATTAGTAAAGAATGTTTACCTTGAGTACTGTGCTTCTTTAAAAACCTATCTATGTGGAATCAAATTGACAACATCAACTCAAAAGGTTAGAGTCAGCTTAGGGGGCTGTGAGTTTGTTACTGGAGGAGGATGAGAATGGTTGCACAACCTGAAGAATGTAATCAGTGGCACTGAATTGTATGTGTAGAAATGGATGAATTGGTTATGTTTTGCTGTGTACATTTGCAACTACATTAAAAGAAAGAAAAATGTCTGGAGTCTAGAAGGACAGTCCTAAGAATTACCTTTGAGTAAATGCAGCTAGATGCAAGCATTGTGCTGAGTGCTTTCTGTGTATCATGTCAATCAACATTCCCTCAGGCCCTTACTCTGGTCCTTCCATTTCACAACTGAAGCTTGTGCCCAAGGACACGCAGTTAGTACATGGCAGATCTGGAATATGAACCCAGTCACTCTGACTCCAGGCCAGTCTTCTC